AGAAAAGTTTCATGGGATTTCCACTGCCTGTCCTCAATCCACCATCTCAAGATTTAAACATCTTCTTGACTGACTGGCCTCTGGACTAAAAAACTGAGTTTACACTTTGTGCTAATCATTAACCTTTGTTTTTCTTTTATTTCCATATAAATGCCCCCCATTAAATACCTGTTACTCATACTATATAAAGGCCTAATTTAGATGCCCCCGTCACTTCCATTACACCACTGCCTCCCGAAATAGGACATAACTGCTTAACTGAACTGACCTATTTTCAGGACCAAGAGTCTGATTCAACAGGATAAGGAACAATCTACCACCTCAGCTTCTGGCGGTGACACCAGACTTATCTTGGTAAACAAATTGTAGTACATAATAGCCTATTTTATATATTTTAACTTTTTATTATGGAAATTTTGAAAAATAGGCCCAATAATACAAGGAACCCTCGTGTGTAATCTCCCAGCTTCAACAATTATGAACTCACGGCCAATCTCCTCTACTTTATGTATCAACTCCTTCACAGTCTTTAAAATGCTTTCATCTCCTAACAACTGTAAATGCTAGGTCATGTGATTTTACAGTAAAATCCTATTTCTCACAAATTACCATTTTAATGTAAATGTCAATTTTTAAGATAGAGAAAAAAACTATAAAGTATGCTCGTATGCCTTTATGCATGTTTTATTGGGTTTTGTGCATCCTAATTCATTAATAAAGGCAAAAGGAGGAACACTGGCATGTTTTATCTTCAGCTATTATTCAAACCGAATAGAATTATTTTTCAATAAAATTGTTAGGATAAATTGCCAACTTCTACTTTTCTAGAAAACTGCTTTTATTGAATAACCTTGATTCCAACCCACCCTATAAAAGTAGGATTTTACCGAACAAACTACAGCTAATGTCACATTTTGTACATAATAGCTGCAAATGTCTAAAATTTTAAGGAAGCATTATAACTTAGAACAATTCTAAGCCAAAAGTGATATCTGTAGAGGATCCAGATGCACGAAAATAAAATAAACGAAATGAGCCCTTTAATTCATGATTCAGGTATCATTTTTCTGACAGTCATCAATGAAACTGTCACGTATTCCTGGAATTTGGGGTTATCAGAATGATTTATTTTGACACCACTCTTTCACATAATTGTGTCTGCTATTTCAAAAGAAAATACTTATGTTCACATGTGTGTGGGTATTGATTATCAATACCTTCATGTTATTACTTGCACATGAATTAGTTGTGATTCTCTTTTCAACCTGACTTGTATGCACATAATATCATCACATATTTACAAATACTTGTGCATAGATCTTTTTCTTGCTCTCTCTCGTCAAGAATACCAAGATGTCCCCAGATTCGCATTTCAAAGTTGCCTGAGTCGCACTCGCACAGCCCCAGGCTCCACTGTCAAATGGGGTCAGTTCTATACGGTGCACCTAATCGTGCTGCAGAAGGTACAGCTGCATATCACTCACCAAGGCAAAAGCAAACATTTAGTGATTAGATAATACCTTTTTGTTAATTCTGCAGATGAGATGTTTTTACCTTTGTTTATTTGAGAACAACTGAATGCTGAAATGCAGTGGCTGATGCCAGCAATCTAAGGCTTCACTAGCACAGATGAAGCCATGCTCATCTCGTTACACAAATGATTAGAGAGATTAAATGAAAACAAACACTGAGAGGATGTAGAGAAGCTCTGAAGCTGGCTAATCATTTTAATTTCTCCAGTGACTTACACCAACCTTCATTATCAACCACAGGTCAAGTTTAAATTGTTCTATGTAAGAATCATAAACTATATGGAAAAGTACTGTGGCTACCCAGTGATTATGATTCATACGAGTCACATTTTCTCCAAGCTTCCATTTAAAGAAGGTGTTTCTATCCCAGTGCCTGATAAACTCTCTAAATATTTTATAACTATGATGTATTTTTGCATGTAAAAGTGATTTACCCTGGGGCTGGTTGATGGCACAGTTAGGTTCCTGCTCCAGGCTTCCGGGGCCCGGGGTTCATGGGTTGGGATCCCGAGCGTGAACCTGCACACAGCTCATCCAGCCATGCTGTGACGCTGACCCACATACAGAACAGAGGAAGATTGGCACAGATGTCAGCTCAGGGACATCCTTCCTCACACACACACACATGCACGCATACACACACACACACACACACACAAAAGTGACTTACCCGAGTTTGCTGCTTCAAGTGGACATTCTTAGTAATTTTTGTATCTCTGTATCTTTACTCAGATTTGATCATAAAAGATGTGGGTCACATTTTTGAGTTAATGAATGTGAAACAATATGGCATATCCAGTCTTTGAAATAAATGTCACTTGGAAACATGTCATCCTTATTGCGAGACAAGCTGCACCTTGTATTGGGTGTAAATTGATTTCCTCTTTCTGCCTCTCCCTACCCCAAATTGAGAAGACTTTACCACACACACTAATGCCTCCCCGACAGGTGGGGCCTTATTTAGAGGGTTGTCAGTCCTGTCTAGAACGGATTTTATTTTATGTTCCTGTGTGATGACGATCCTGCAAGACCTCCTGGGTTAAGATCTTATTTTGAGGAAGTGTTATCTGTATGTAAATAACATTTATTGACTGCCTGCATAATGCCAGCTCCTCTGCAAAATACCTTACCTAACTTATCCTATTTGATCCTTACAACATTCCCAGGGAGTATGTACTACTAACTCCATTTTCTAGACGAGGAGACGGATGCTTTGACAGACTCACCGACTTTCTAACGTTGCTGAAGCAGCCTGGATGGGATTCAAACCCAGGTCTGCCTGCCTCGGAGAACCACGATGCCCCGAACAGAAGGCTGATTGAGGTAAACCTGGAGGCAAAGTCTGACCAAGGATAACAGAAAGGATGACATGACCTCCTTGATGCGGAGGTGCTGCCTAAGTGTTGTGTTATACGACACGTGTGAATTCTGGGCACCCGTTAATATCTCAAATCCCAAAATATGATTGATTTTGAAAGTGTGTCATCACTCAATAGCCCCGGTTGCTGGAGAAGAAGCAATTAAGAAATAGGTTTTATGGTAAAGTGAGAATAACCAAGAGTTCCCTACTAACGAGGCGATGCTTTTTATTTTTTATTTTTTTTGAGGAAGATTAGCCCTGAGCTAACTACTGCCAATCCTCCTATTTTTTGCTGAGGAAGACTGTCCCTGAGCGAAATTCCATGCCCATCTTCCTCCACTTTATATGTGGGACGCCTGCCACAGCATGGGTTAGCCAAGAGGTGCCATGTCCGCACCAGGGATCCGAACCAGCAACCTGCTCCACCGAGAAGCGGAACGTGAGCACTTAACCGCTGCGCCACCAGGCCGCCCTGAGGGGATGCTTTTTAATACAATTTGGTAACCACCTGGGATTTACCCAGCTAACCCACAGGGCTCCGCTCTCCAACTACGCACATCAAAAACTCCAAGAGGACTTAGGAGCCTTCAGTGATCTCGTCGGGCCGGGCGGGCGTGTGTGGCGCTTTCTAGGATTTAAGAAAAGCCTGCGCTGACCTCCCTCCCGCAAGACGCCCACTGCGATGTCCGCGGGCGCAGACCCGGCCGGACGGGCGCACGTTTGCCCGAGGCTGTGAGAGGGTCGAGGCCCACCAGGCTGGCCGACAACAGCAGCGCGTGGCACGGGTTCGCCGTTTCCTGCGGTGGGGATGCGCTAACCTGCAGCGTTTGAAGTGTGCGTTCTGGGTGACCCAGGGAGGTGGGGACCCACGGCTGGCCCCGCCGGGGGGGGGGGGGGGCGGCGCATCACATCTACACACGTCTCTCTCAGCTTTCAGACTCGGCGGGAAGGCAGGGACCTTCACAGACCGACCAACGGGGGCCGGGGGTGGGGGGGGCTCGGGGTCGGAACGGCCGAGGGCACCCCCAGCCCCCAGCTCGCCATCGCCCGCCCTCAGAAGGCAAGCCTGAGCAGGACAGCCAGCCCAGGAAACGGGCTCGGAAATCACTGCCGCCGGCTGGGGGGAGGCTTTCCCGCGGCTCTGCCCGCGCCTCCCGGGACCGAGCGTGCGCGCGGCCCCTGCCTCCTCCGCGTGCTTTACAGACCCCGGGGCCTGGCGGCAGAGGCGCCCCATAGAAGAGTCCGCACTGGGCGCCAGCCGTGTGCTCGTGCCTGGCGGACGCTGTCCTCGGACGCTGTGAGCCGTGCGCACGCCCCGGGAGCGCAGCCCCGCGCGGTCCAGCCGTGTCCGAGTGATTCCCCCGCCGCGCGGGGACCCGCGTCCTGTGTCCACTTGGCCGCTTGCCACTGACCTCGAGGAACTCACTTTAAACTCTGAGCCTCGGCTTCCTCGTCTAGAAAATGAAAGTGATGCCACCTGCCAGGCCTCCTAGAAAGGGTCGTTGGGAGGGTCAGACGGAATAATGCCGATGGCGCGGACTCCGAGGGGCTGTGCCTCCAAATTACTGAGAAAAATAAGTTAAATGTGCTCGGCTGGAGTTGCAGGAATTTCCCCAATGGTCACACTGCAGCCGGGCAGCAATCGCACGGAGCGAGTCCTTCTCATGCGCATCTCGCAGGCCGAGCCCCGAGCGCGGCCCCTCGTCCCCGGCTCCACCGACTTGGACCTTTCGGGGACCCCGCTCTGCGGCCGCCGCTCGGCCCACCCCGCGCCGGGCTCCAGAGGGGTGTCCCGGCCCCTCCCACCTCCTCGCACCCCAACCCCAGGCTCCCGAGTTTTCCGCCCGGGAATGAGCTTTCCTGGCGGATCTCCAAAGACCGGGCAGCATTTGAGAAAGCTGCGCGCGCGGACCTCAGCGGACGAGCACCCCCTCTCGGAGGTCGCGCCTCCCCGCGGGGCCCCCTGCCCGCCTCCCCGGCCGTGCGGCCCCCTCCTTTCCCCTCCCGCCCGCAGCCGCGCCGCGGTCTCCCTCGGGGGGGCTGGGAGCACGCTGGAGTCTGCAGCGCCCCCGCCCCTCGCTCCTTCTTTCTTCCCGGCTTTGGGATCGCTGCCGGAGCGGGAGCGGCTCTGAGAGGAGCAGGACGGAGCGCAGGCTTGGCTGCGGCGCGCGCTCAGAGCTGGCACCAGCGCCCCGGGGTCCCCTCCCGGGACTCACCGCTCCCGCTAGGACGTGACCAAGGAGCCCTGGGCGCCTGCCTCCTGCCCTCGAAGGTGCCCCAGAGAGCGCATCGGGGCCCACGGCTGAGCACAGCGCCCGCAGCGCCGCGGGACCCGCACCGGCTCGCAGTCCTCGGGAAGAGCGCGGGCATCTCCGCCTTCCTGGGGTCGGCTCCACTCCGGGCCCGCAGCGCGCGCTGCACCGAGTCCGCTTGCCGCCGACCCGCCCCGTGGCCCCCGCTCCTCGGCACCTGCGCGGAGCCCCCGAGCCCGGCGCCCGGCCCGGCAGCGCCCCGACCCCGACCCCATGGAGAGCGCGCCGGCCGCCGCTTCCTGAGCCGTCCAAGCTGCAAGCTGGGTCCCCGGCTCGCTCCTCCTAGGACGTCCGAGAAACCGGCGGGGAGCGCGCCATGAAGTCCGTGCTGTTCAGCCGCTTCTTCATCCTGCTGCCCTGGATCCTGATCGTCATCATCATGCTCGACGTGGACACGCGCAGGCCCGCGCTCCCGCTCACCCCGCGCCCCTACTTCTCTCCCTACGCTGGGGGCCGCGGGGGCGCCCGACCCCCGCTCCGCAGGGGCGGCCCGGGGCGCGGCTCCGAGCGGCGCAACGAGTCCGGGCCGCCGCGCGCGCCGCCCCTGCCCACCATCTATGCCATCACGCCCACCTACAGCCGCCCGGTGCAGAAGGCAGAGCTGACGCGCCTGGCCAACACCTTTCGCCAGGTGGCGCAGCTGCACTGGATCCTGGTGGAGGACGCGGCGGCGCGCAGCGAGCTGGTGAGCCGCTTCCTGGCGCGCGCCGGGCTGCCCTGCACGCACCTGCACGTGCCCACGCCGCGGCGCTACAAGCGGCCCGGGCTGCCGCGCGCCACGGAGCAGCGCAACGCCGGCCTGGCCTGGCTGCGCCAGCGGCACCGGCACCAGCGCGCGCAGCCCGGCGTGCTCTTCTTCGCCGACGACGACAACACCTACAGTCTGGAGCTCTTCCAGGAGGTAGCGCCGCCCGCCGCGGGGCGGGAGGGGCCTCGCCGGGACGCCGGGAGGAGCTCCTCGGGGCTCCCGTAGCCCCCGCTGCCCCGGGGATGGAGGGCGGGCTAGAGGACCCCTGTGGCCCGAGGGAGTGAGGCTGGCCGAGGCTGTGCTGCCCCCGGGCCCCGAGGTCTGGCCGAGGGACAGCGCAGGGTGAGGAGCGACTGTGAGGGTGGAGCCCAGAGGTGGAGGGGCGGCGGCCAGGCGAGCTCGGGAGAGCGGGGGACCCTGCACAGGTGTGACTGAGTCCAGAGCCGCATGGGGAGGAAGATGCAGGTGGTGACTCAGAATCAGCCCAGAGACCTTTCTCTCGTCCAGCCCCCTGGCACGGAAATGGGTAGTAGTGACAACACCGACTTCCTGGGGGTCTTCCCTCCCTCTTCCCCCACCCTGCAAAGGCCCTTTCTGACTCCGAAGATGACCTCTTGTGCAAGGAAACCCTCTGGCAAATGAGTTGGGCTGTGCGGCCCGGTGGGTGTGTCTCTTCGCAGCCCGAGGCATCCCCCGGACTGCCGGTTCCTTTTCCGGACCTCTCCCGGGCCTCTCCTGCCCCGGCGCTCGCCCCGGTGCTTGCCGGCGGCCCGGCCGCTGAGGAGCGCTCCTCCCTCGCGTGCCCAGACCGGCGGAGAGGGGGGCCGGTGGTGTTTCTTGAGGCTGGTATTTTGCAGTCTGTGTTTCCTGCAAACGATACTGAGTTGCATGGTTTTGTCAGTTTTCTTCTTCCTCGTACACAAGTAGACCTTAAAAAAAGTGTTGGATTCTTTCACATCCCGTGCGACGGTCGCCTTCCTCTACCCCAAATTCCCGGGCCTCCTGCCTCCAAGACCCCGCCCCCCAGGAAAGTGGGCGGCCTGTGCGTCTAGTAATCATATAGACCCCACACCTGCATCCGAATATCCATGTGGCTTTCTTAACTCAGGGCCGAGGTTCTCTGTACCCTAACAGTTTAATTTTCCTGCCTACGTGGCTTTTAAAAATCCATTTCTTAAGGGCAGTCGCCCCTTCGTACGCATTCACCGCCTCCTTCTTTGTGTGTAAAAGGACCAGTAATTGCTCTCCATCTTTCCTTCTTCATACTTTCACCCTATGGGGCTTTCCTTCCCTGTTTTCGAGTAAGCTTGACGTTGTGTGGTATGGTCTTTGTTATTAGAGATTATAGGTGTCAAGATTAGAGACGTCCTCTGGTTTATTTAAGTTGGGCTTTTATTTTGATCCTGCTTATGTGCTCTTCACCCGAAAGATGTGGTTTGTATTCTGAAGGAAGGACCTTTGCGTTTCAGTACACCATAATTTTAAACCTCAAAGTTTCTTTCTTCTGCAACTTGGAAGCTGCCTTACCTGTGAAAATGTGCCTCCGTGAGAGTGAAATAATGACGTCGTTGTTAGCTAACCTTTCCGCGGCGTGGGCCGTGAGGGGGTGTGGTTTCAGTGCGTTCCCCGCCGCCAGCCTGTTGGGGTGCTGTGTTAGAGGCATGGGGGAGCGGGCACTATGGGCAGTGAAACGGTCAGAACAGTGTCTGTCTTCAGTGCTTCCCAAACTGAAAGGAAGGCTTGGCGGTAGTGGATGTTAAGCAGCAAGAGAAGCATCCAGTAGGTTTTTTCTTTTTCTTTTTTTTCAGTGAGGAAGATTTGCCCTGAGCTAACATCTGTGCCAACCTTCCTCTACTTTTATGTGGGTCGTCTCCACAGCATGCCTGCCGAGTGGAGTAGGTCCATGCCCAGCATCCCAACGGGCAAACACAGGTGCCGAAGCCAGTATGTGGAACTTTAACCATTCGGCCAGGTTTTTTCATTGGTCCATAGGGGGAAAAAGAAAGAGAAAGAAGATGAAAGAAAGAAGAGAGGGTGAGAAGAAATACTATTGGCCAAAAGGAAACTAGGAAGGGAAAAACTTGCAAAACTTTGAAGACACTAAAGTAAACTTAAGAGCATATGCAACTCTTTTAGAGAGGCGTGCGGAGTATATAAAATACAGAACAGAAGGAAGTTTTTAAAATCATAATATGCATGGTACACTTAGAATTTAAATTCTGTAGTTCCTAGAGGTTCTTCCCAGACAGTAATTTTATGACTAGTCCCTTTCTCCACCACCATTCCTCCTCCCCACATGAGTGTTTTTGACAGAGTAGGCGTCTGTCACCAGCATACACGTTGATACATTCCATTTTTTACAACACATTCTTTTCCTTAGCAAGCAGTGTTTTCATAGAAAGCAGTACTGAACTCTCTAAAACGTCAGATAGTTGAATTTATGCATTCTTAGTCTTGTGCTTTGATGGGATGGTCTACCCTACACCCAGTCTAGGATTGATGATTCCATGTGGATTACAGTCCAGACATTGCTCTCTTGGAGAAAAGATAGGACCAGAAAAACCATCTGAAAACTGCAGCTCCTGGGGGAAGGGAAGATGCTGTAGGGCCGAGGCATAGGTCTCTTTGCATTGTGCACACACACACACACATTAGTTCTTAAGTAATTCTCAGTACTTAAGGAAAGAATGTCCTGGGGCCGGCCGGGGGCATAGTGGTTAAGTTCAAAGATTCCGCTTTGTCAGCTGGGGTTCCTGGGTTTGGATCCTGGGCACAGAGCTACACACTGCTCATCAAGCCATGCTGTGGCAGTGTCCCACAAATAAAACAGAGGAAGACTGGCACAGATGTTAGCTGAGGGCCAATCTTCCTCAAACACACACACAAATGTCCCAAGTCAGGCTTCATCTTTTGATCGTAGTGCATCTGATTTCCATGGTTGATGTTAAGTAGATGAGATAAAAGAGGAAAATGAACCAGGTACAAATTAGCTCCCTGAGCACTGGCGGCATAGGAAGGAAGGTAAAGATGAAAGGTCTCCAAATTAAATTAGAGGTGCAACAGGCGGTCCCTGTTCAGTTATCCCTCCCTGGTAACCGGAATGGCGCTTTCTTCTCCCGTACAGCTGACTAATTTTCAGCCTCCCCTTTCACCCGAGCTGTGCCACCAGAGAGAAATATTTGCGTTGAACAGTCCTGCTTCACAGCCACATCCTCCTGCAAATGGAGGTCGATGGGGGTGGCACCTGCAGACCCCGCCTTTGAGAAGGAGGTGGGCGGGGTTCAGGCTCAGGATCTCCAGGGCTCCTCCTGCTCTTCCTGCGGCCTGGGTGCGGTCTCGCCCTGTGGCACACGGGTGAGCCTGCCTGCCAGCGCACCCTATCCATCCAGCTCTCCGGAAAAGCTTATTTGCAGAGGATTTAAACTGCTTTAGGAAAAGCCACAACTGCAGATAAATGCGAGTCTGTAACTAGTCATATTTTCAATAACACTATTGATCAGGTTTCCGTTCTTTGTTAGAAAACCTTCCAAGCTTTCCTGAGTGTAAAGCTGCTGCCTTTCAGGTGAAGTTGCTTTCACCTAGGAAATCAATTGAATTGAAAGGTTAAAAAGTAGCACTTTTCAAGGAAGAAGAAAAAAACTTTAATGAGGTAAGACTGGAAGACAGGCTGACTCTAAGACACTAAAGGGGCCCACTGGGTTAATGAGACTGCATCTCGACGATGTCTCTGGCAAGGAGTGGACTAAAGAGGCCCTGTGTCTGGGTTTTGTGGTTGGTGCTGTTGAGCTGTCTGTGCTCCGGGCAGGTGGAGGGAACAAGGGTTAATTCTGTGGCTCCTTTTCTGAAGCGCTTATATCATTTATATGCTCCCCCTTTACGTGCAGCTTATTGGAGCCACAATCCAAAGGGAACTCAAATCTACAATGCTTGGCACTTCTCTCCCTGGGTCGTGAAGTCTATGTGTGTTTCCTGCAAGGAGACAAGAGATGCAGGTGCTTCTGTAGGGTGATTGTCTTTTCAAAGCAAAGAAACCTAGAAGATTCTCTTAGGTATAGTACAAAGAGACTATTTGACCTGAAATGTGCCCCTTGTATTTTATTTCTCTCCATCTAAAAGCATATTAATAGTCATGCCATAGGTCTAATAAAATGTGAGAATTCTGTAAAAATGTATATAGAAAACTACAGCCCATTTTCTGAGGCTGTCGATGTTAGAGCTACAAATGTTTTTACTCTCCCTAGGTGTACAGTACTTGAGTTATGACTAATTTTTACAGAATTTTCTTTGGAGACAAGCCGTTTTCATTTGGGATTTTGATATTTTAATGGACCAGAAATAACTGGTTTGGGTTTAAAAGACCTTCTCCCTTCTGCCCCTTCCTGTTGTCTTTTTCCATCATTCTTTGCCCTCCAGCTACTTTTCTCTGATTAGTCTTTCTCGTGAACAGACCTGGAGACGGCCGGGTTGTGGTTTGGTGCAGTGGCTGTGTGTCTTTTCACATTTAGACTGTTGTCCGCTGCTTCTTGGAGACCCTCTGGGGCGACTCCATTTTCTTCTGTCTGCTCCACTTGCCTCTAAATTACAAGCTGGTAAGTTTTCTCTTGTGTGAACAGTAATGGAATAGTAATTGCTTTAAGGCATACTACAAAAGTAAAATAGAACACCCAAAGTGAGCGGTCTTATTTATTAACTATTCCAGGTGGTATTTAGAGCTTTTTTTGTTACCGGATTCAATAATGCTCAGATGTGTCTATTCAAATATTTTGGACTCTGATGGAATATTTGCTCAGTCTGTACAAGTTAACACATTATTGTATATTTGATTTATGGTGCTGTTGAAATGTGAAATTTAAGTTTTGCATGGTTTTCAAAATCTCTCCCCAAAACATAAAATTGTTGTATCTGCCCACAGATAGATAGATAGGTAGGTGATAAGTAAGTAGGTTTAGAATAGATTTCCAATTTACAGATATGAACTAAGATAATCCATTGCACATACCTGATAATTTTCTTTTTAATTTTATTGAGGTCATAATAGTTTATAATATTGTGAAATTTCAGTTGTACATTATTATTTCTCAGTCACCATATATATGTGCCCCTTTCCCCTTATGCCCACGCCCCAACCCCCTTCCCCTCTGGTAACCACTAAA